CCATAATTCCACCTAGGTTAAGTGCATTTGTAAATTCGTTAGACATCTAAAAGAGAAAGACAAACAAATCAATTAGTTTGTAGAAACCTCTCAAAGATAACTAGCAAAGTTGGTAAGATCAAGTTCGACAAACGAGTTGAGAAGATCAAATACAACAAACAAGCTGCTTGGTATTTTTCAAGTCTAGATGCAACCCAAAAAAGTGAACTCTCATAGACAACTGTTTGGGATCTTTCACACCAAGCCGAATGAGTTCGACAAAGGAACAAGGGAAGATTACCGGAGATAAAAGAGTGTGCACGGAAAAAAAAATCAAAGACGAGAAGATTACCGGTGATAAAAGAGTGTGCTTGATGAAGAAAAGAGTGCTCGAACGAGTTCCAATGCCTAATCATGAAGACAAAGACAACGATGAAGGAGTGTGCTCGATGACAACAAAGAATTAGAGTGCACAGAGAGAGAGAGAGAGAGAGAGAGAGAGAGAGAGAGAGAGAGAGAGAGAGAGAGAGAGAGAGAGAGAGCTAATTGTTTTCAAATAAGAGACCTAATTGAAGAAATAAAGAGAGAGAGTTAAGAATATCCATGTGGACTTACCACGTCAATTGCCATATGTCATCCAGCTCAACAATTTCATAGTGAAATTTGACGGAAGCTAACCTAGGGTAAATGCGCCCCAAACATATCAGCTTGGAGTTTTTGGTGATCCAAATAAATATATTAGTTTAAAATTTTTCGTGATATCAACCTTACAATCTACCTATACAAATAATCGCAACCAGTTTATACCTGTCCTTGTTGATATTGTGATAAAATGCTTATAAAATTGGGAAAACAAGTCAGACAACTTCTCTTGAGATCATTAGGGCAAGTAATTAGGTACCCAAGACTAATTAATTTATTATGTAAAGGCTAATGTCTTTGTCACAATATAAAATCATCTGGCCTCTACTCTAAGTTCAACCTAACTTAACCAAAGTTCGAGCATGTGGTGTTGCCAGATTTAAATATTGACCCACACCATCATTTACCATAAAAGAATTAGAAAAGGAAAGATGACCTTATTTCAAAGGAAAATGATTTACGAGAAATTTTTTTCAATAATATTCCTTTGTTTGGGGGAAGATAAGTTTTTTTTTTGGTTAGAAAAGATAACTAAGCTTCATTACTTCAAGTAGTTTCTCTATTACATCAAACCCAGGCCTCGGAGACAATGAGGTCCTATAAAACACTAGGGGGATTTGTGAGCCAGTCTCTAGGGAGGTAGTTGCGTCTATGGGCCTTGGCAACCCAGTCCACGACTTTATTTGCTTCTTGCACGCAATGGGCTAGCCTCAGCTTTTCGAAATGGGCCATCTCCAACTTGCAAGCCTTGATAAGAGCCTTCTCTTGATCTATCAGCACCCTTATCAGGTTCAAGCTGTCTGACTTCAACATAAAGTGCAGAGAAGACTTCGACTTCAAATACTTGCACGCTTGAAGGAGAGCTAGGGTTTCAACTTGTTCAACTGTGGAAGCATAAACACTCATGGCAAACCCATCCACCACTTTTCCAGTATGATCTTTGCAAATACACGCTATACTCCCTTTCGATTTACCTTCCTCAAATGATCCATCCACTTTCACCTTCAACTCACTGCTCTTCGGTGGCTTCCATCTCTCAAATAATAAACCTTTTACCTTTCTTGATTTCCAGTTTCTTGGGTTCCATCTCACAAAACTTTTGCAAATCGCCCATGAAGAGGCCACCACATTCGACGGCACAGGAGCTCGTTTTCTAAAAACAAAATTCTTTCTTGCTTTCCACATCTCCCAAAGCACCGACGCCAACCGCTCCAATGAAGGTGAGTTTCCCGTCCTCCTAACTTAATTAAGTATCCAAATCTCAAATCGGCCTAGCCCTTTCTCTGATATTTCCACTTTCAGGTCTGGGTGTCTTTAGCGTCTCAGGCCCGCCCCTTTCAAGAGGAATCCTCTAATTCTCAATAATCATCAGATTTTTTGCACGCGGAAGATGCTTCTTTCTAAGGTCAACATTTATAACATGAATATGACATAGAAACATAGAAATATAGAAATGCAAGGACACGCATGTTATGAAATTACCATTCATCTCATTTAATAATAGGGGTGATACAAGGGTGAGATCGCACTCGGGGAGACTGCCTATAGGCGCTACTTCAACCCGAACTATTCACATGGACCCACCATTCACTTCACAAAACAAAAGCGATCACCCAAACACACGACTCTATCCCAAAAAGTCGCAATCGTGTCTTCCCAAAAATGTTCCTTCCCCCTCCTCGTTATTGTATTCACTCGACCCCGCAACTAGCACTATCATCCGCTCCATCCTGCCATGGGTGTTTGAGAGGTCCCACCAGCCGTCCTCTAGCACGAACATAGACGGCAACAAACCTCAAAAGGATGGGTCCCACTGGGGACCCAATATCTACGGTCAGAATGGAGATACACTTCACAAAAATAATCCTCGGAAAGTAGGGATCCACAAACTCAAACAAGTGGCCCTCAAAATCAATGGGCACTCCATAGCTAATGGAGGTTGATGTGGGAAGTATCGGCATGGCTACAGATCTATAAAAAGGTATCAATAATAAACGTTGAGCGAAAGCTCAGCAAAGTAAACTCTATCACGCCATACTAAACAGATAATGTCAAGCATATCAACATGATCAATTCGATAGACAACTAAACCGATCAACAAACCGGCCATAGCATGCATAGACTCCCTTTTCTCGCTATGCTACTAATTGTCAAGCATAAAGATCATTAATCAATGAACATACAATATTACGAGTACACATTGCATGTGTTATGTGTCATTAATCAAACTTTAATCTCAACTCCAAGGCACATGTCCGGTGCACTTGCCGGCCACGCATGGAGGAACATCCCGTCTAGTAGGGTCTAGTGCACCCTCCGGTCTGCCGCAGTATACGCCGGAATTCTCATCGGCCTGCGCGGGCTTCGTAGTCCACTGACCACGGCATCTCGATCAAACTCCCAGGGCATATAGGGCATGACACCTCCTAGGCATCGTAGTCCATTGACCATGACATCTCGCATTCCCTATGGCTCCTCAGGGCATCGTCGTTCATAGACCGACGGCATCAATCATTTCTTAATCACACATTCACATGCACAAACGATCATTTCATTAATCACATGCATAGCTTACAATGAACTTACCACTTACCGTGCACTTCTCGAACTCCAAACCAATTCATGAGTATTTGCCTCATCATATCAAGACCATTAATACCTGATTGGAAAGCTCAGAATGTATAGATTTTGTCTCATGAAGACATCGAATCGAAATTCCAATGTCCTCAAATAGAAAATGATGGATAAATTGAAATCTGGCAAAATTGGGCAGTTTTGCATTGTTGAAGAAATCAGACTTAAAACATAGTAAATGGACTCCGAAAATTCCAAAATTTGAATATGTCATAAACAAGACTTTAGCATACATTTTCCATGAAGAACACAATATCTGAATCTTTATGTAAACCCAACTTTTAGTAGCTCAAAGTCAGACCAAAACTGCCCGTTGGAACAGAATGATTGAACTAAAAGAAATACTCGTTTCACAAACCAAATCTTTTCAAAAAACTTGGAAATTTTTATACGTTGTAGACATGGATTTCTTTAACAACTTTTGTGAGGAAGTATGTCCAATTTCGAGCTGGAAATTTTTATAAAAATTCGACAAGATATAAAGGTCACTGATTTTACTGTACTAAACAGATTTAATACAGTAAGAAATAGGGTCTTCGTGCAACCTATTTGAACTCAGAAAAATCTGAATTTGAAGTATGTTATAGTCCAAGATTTTCTGAACAACATTTATGAAGAAACTCCGAAAATTCCAAAATTTGAATATGTCATAAACAAGACTTTAGCATACATTTTCCATGAAGAACACAATATCTGAATCTTTATGTAAACCCAACTTTTAGTAGCTCAAAGTCAGACCAAAACTGGCCCGTTGGAACAGAATGATTGAACTAAAAGAAATACTCGTTTCACAAACCAAATCTTTTCAAAAAACTTGGAAATTTTTATACGTTGTAGACATGGACTTCTTTAACAACTTTTGTGAGGAAGTATGTCCAATTTCGAGCTAGAAATTTTTATAAAAATTCGACAAGATATAAAGGTCACTGATTTTACTGTACTAAACAGATTTAATACAGTAAGAAATAGGGTCTTCGTGCAACCTATTTGAACTCAGAAAAACTTGAATTTAAAGTATGTTATAGTCCAAGATTTTCTGAACAACTTTTATGAAGAAATTTTTGCAATATTCGAACCACAAAAAGCTCTATAAAAATGGAAAACAGTAAAAGTCCAACAGTTTCGGTTCTGAAAACCAAAGCCAAAGTTCAAGAAAACAACTCTAACTTGAAACCCACGAATTCTCATCCAAGAAAACTCAAAACCAGAAGTCCAAACCTACATGCAACATCCATTTCCAACTTGGTTCAGCAACCTATACCCACAAAACTCATTCCTAAGGTCTAAACCAACATACTTGGGCAAATACTCAATCAAACCATTCTCCCCCACAGCATCCAGCCACCACATTATCCAATCCGAGACCCGAACTCGACATGCAAACATTATGATGGTTAGTCTAGAGTGAGAGAGCACATTGGCCTCGACTGCAAGTGTGGCGGCATGGCGTGCGGTTCTTGGCGGGGAGAGAGAGCACGGTGCGGCGATTTCTGGGCTCGTGGTGGCTGCTGCTGCTGACGCGAGGAGACGTGATGGCGGAGGGAGCGATGACTAGTTGGACGGCGTCGTGCGGTGGGCGGCTGCCATGGCTGGGTTGGGCGGCTGGCGAGTTCCGAGTGGAGAGAGAGAGAGAGAGAGAGAGAGAGAGAGAGAGAGAGAGAGAGAGAGAGAGAGAGAGAGAGAGAGAGAGAGTTGGCGGGGAAGAGATGGGGAAAAGAGAGGGAGGGGATGGAGAGTCAAGGACTTTTCCCCTTCCCTTGCATGCAAGGCCATTGGCCGAGTGGGGCAGTGGTGCCACATGGCCAAGGGTGGGCGCCACTTGGCGCTTCTCCTCCGCCAAGTGGTGGAAGGGAAAGAAAAGAGAAAAAGAAGAAGAAAAGAGAAGAAAGAAGGGGGGCGGTGGTGATCCGGCAAGAAGGGGAAGAGGAGGCGGTGATGCTGGCATTCCGGGCAGCATGGCGGCGGGGAAAGGGAAGGAAAATGAACATGAGGGCGGAGCGGTAAAAACGTGGCATCGGAAACAATCGATGTGATGGCGAATGAAACCAAGAAACATGGTTCACGATCCCAAAGACGACAATGGTGACGATTTCCAAATTTTCCGTCGACGAATGCCCTAATCCCTTAGGATCCTCTCGTTCCTCTTATCATATGAGGGTTCAAGATGTCACAGTGTCGCCAAACGTTGTTCGTCCATTTGCACAGCAAAAAGACATGTTCAATAGTTTCCGGGCTTTGCCTACAGAGAGGACACACCGGTTCAGGTAAAATTTTCCTTTTCCACAAATTCTCAGTAGTTGGGATTGCGTTTTGGCATAGACTCCAGATGAAAGTTTTAATTTTTTGGTGTATATGCATATTCCAAATCATACCCCATAATTCTTTTGGGTGCTCGTAAGAAGATGATGGCTGATTTAAGTCCTACTTTTTCTCTGATTTCCAAATCTGATTGTACGCACTCTTGACCGTAAAAGTGCTCGCTTTTGTTCGAGTGCACATAACTTTGTCTTTCTCCTTAGTGACCTCTAGTGGGATAGTTAGAATTTCCTCAGCAATTTGTTTATCAAACATTTGAAACAGTTTTTGCTCATCCCATTTCACTTCCTCTATGTTAATCAGCTCGCCTACTGTATGTGGCTCCCTACTTAGTTCCTCTCTTCCAATTGCGCCTGATTTCAACCATCTATGTTCTCTAATCTTGATATCCCTGCCACTCCCCACTCTCCATCTCACATTCTTAGCAATTGCCTCTCTTCCCCACAATATGCTCTACCATCCCCATGAAGCGTGACTGCCCTTTCTAGCATGCTAGAATTTACTGTATGGGAAATACAATTCTTTAAGTACCTATACCCAAATGCTGGAAGGGTTTTGATCTATCCTCCAAGCTTGTTTTCTAAGCATGGCCTTATTGAAGGATAATAAGTCTCTAAATCCCATTCCTCCTTGGTCTTTCCTTCCTTTCATAGCATTCCAGTTTTTCCAATGGATTCCCTATTTTGAATCACCATTCTTCCACCAAAAATTTGCAACTTTTTGTTCAATAGCTCGGCAAATAGAGATAGGTAGTTTAAAAATTGACATGGCATATTGTGGTAGAGCTTGTACCACTGCTTTAATGAGTCTCTTTTCTGGCTTTTGAGATCATCCTTTCTTTCCACACTTCAATTTTCATGTTTACTCTACCCAAAATCCATGCGAACATTTGTTTCTTAGTTTGACCCCACTCCGATGGAATCCCTAGGTACTTTCCAGTTTTTTGTAATTACGGGACTCTCATTTCCGTTGCCATGTTCCTTCTCAACGTCTGAGGACAATCTTTGCTCAAGAAGATGCCGGATTTATTCAAGTTAACGACTTGTCCCAAAGTAAAATAGTACCGGTTTAAAATTCCTGCTACATTCTAACACTTTTGAACCCTTCAATCTAGAAAGAATATTGAGTCATCCGCAATTAAAAGATGAGATAGGGTTGGGGCAATCTCTATTTAGTTTAATTCCCCTTATACTTCCTTCTTCCACCGCTTTCTTTAAAAGACAGGATAGCACATTAGCCACTAACATGAAGACGTAAGGGGAGAGTGGGTCTCCTTGATGTAATCCTCTTGAAGGTTGGAAGAAGTTAAGTGGTTCACCATTAAATTTTATGCTCAAGGATGCCGACATCACACAATACATAATACGAGGTACCCATTTGGCATCGAAACCTATTTTGATCAAACATGCTTCCAAGAAATCCCATTCTACCCTGTTATAGCCTTTTCCCATATCTAATTTGAGTACCGCTTGAAACTTCTTCTGTTTTGAATTCTAAGTTGATGCAATACCTCTTGTACTACCATGATATTGTCTTGAATTTGTTCACCCCCCCACCCAAAAGCACTTTGTTCACTGGTTATCAATTTCGGAAGAAAAGGGTTTAAGGCGATTTGCTAAAACCTTTGAAATTATCTTGTATCCAAAATTGCATAAGCTAATTGGGCGAAATTGGTCAAGACTTTCCGGATTCAGCTCCTTTGGAATAAGAGCAATATGAGTTCTATTCAGCTGAGGATTAAACATGCCGATTTCAAAGAAATCCGCCACCATTTTGAATACATCCTGGCTTATTATCTCCTAATGATGATGATAAGATTGGCCGTGACCAGGAGCTTTAATTGCACCTAACTGGAAAACCACGTCCCTCACTTCTTCCATGTTAAGATTAGCCATCAGTTTTTTGTTAATTTCCTCCGACACCATCTTTGGGCACTGTTCGACGACTGGTTGAAAGTTTCTGGGACAATTTGTACTATAAAGCTCTTGAAAAATTTCCATCATCATACTTTTGAGCTGCGCAATCTCTCGAATCCACTGGTTCTCAAAATTTTTCAGCATTATAATTCTATTCCTTTGCCTCCTTTATATGGTTATGGCATGAAAGTATCGAGTATTTTTATTTGCCCATTTCAACCAGTTAATCCGAGAACGCATCCCCCAGTACATTTCCTCCTGCCGCCAAAGACTTTTAATTTCTGCTTTCAGCTCCTTAACTCTTCCCCCGTTTTGTTCTCCGCTAACCGAATTTGTTAACTGTTTAAGTTCCAATTTAAAGGAGTTTATTTGTTGGGAAGAGTTTGTAAATTTTCTCTTGCTCCATTTCTCCAATTCAACTGTTGCACATCTTAGCTTTCCTGTCATATCAGCTCTTCCCGATTTTGGTGACTCCCAAGCAGATTTTTACTAAATCATAACACTCTTCATCTTCTATCCAAAAAGCTTTGAACGTAAAATTTTTCTTCCTTTTTACAAGGGTCGGGAATAAGGATACTAAGAGAGGGCTTTGGTCTGAACCAATGGCCAGTAGGACAAAACTTCAACTTCTGGGAATTGTACTCTCCATTCTACGCTACAAAAGACTATCCGGTCTCTCTTTCACCAAAACTCCCCCGTCTCTATTATTAGTCCAGGTGAAAGCACATCCCTTACTTTATATATCCATTAAACAACAATCATTCAAGAAATCTTGAAACGCAACAAGGCAGTAATTCTCAGCTGCCCTTCTCCCTACTTTTTCCCAGTGATTCAAAATTTCATTGAAATCTTCCATTACAGCCCAAGGTAGGTCATTACAACTTTTTATACATTTTAATTCCTCCCACAGTACAAGCCTCTCCTGGAAGTCATTTGGCGCATGGACGAAAGTAATTCTCATGGCATTATATCCCCCCTTCTCCTTTATACTAAGATTGATGAAATATTTCCTAGCTGAGTCCACTTCCACTTCCACCTCTTCTGTCCACATAGCTGCTAATCCCCCCGATATGCCATCTGGTTCCACCATAAAACAATTCTGAAAGTTGAGGATTCTCGTTACCCTCTTCACTCTTTTTTCATGGTTTTTTGTCTCCATTACAAACAATAAATTAGGCTTTTCTTGAACCACAAGGCCTCTCAAGGCTTGGACTGTCCAGGGTGAGCCTAAACCTGACAATTCCAACATACAAAATTCATTTGTAATCCAATGACTTATTTGAAATAGCCACCAAAGCCCATTTTTCACCTTGTTGTCCATGATTCATTTTTCACCAAAGCCCATTTTTCATCTTGTTATAAAATTCATTTGTAATCCGATAGCTTATTTGTAATTCATTTCTGCGTCACGTCAGAATGTGCACAGGTGCACCCAGGAACTATCTCTCTCCTTGTCCGTGATTGCTCTCTGTCAAGTTACTAACAGTACCTCAATAGTTTCAGGCTATTATATCCACAGCAATTGCCACAAACTCTACCGCGACGCAGCCACAGAGAGATATAGCAAAGAAGAATCCCAGTTAATCTCTCTATCAAGCATTTTGTCGAACACTAGATCTGCCCGTGGAAGTAGCTTCCGATTGGCAAAGGATTGGAGGCTCAATCAAGGCGGCAATGAACCAGATGAGGCAAGCAGCAGTTGAGAAGGCTTGGTTTCAAGACGCATCAACTGGTAACAACGATTGAAACCAGCAGTGAAGAAGCAACCGTAACCATGGTTGGACAGCGGCGCGATTAAATGGCATGGCTCTGGGTGGAAGTGGAAGCACAGAGGCGTAGGGTGGCGTAGACGATGGATGATTGGAGACGCAATGGATGATGAGGAAGGACTCTCACATCAAAATCGAGAGAGGAAAATGATATTGCAAAATAGAAAATCATAGATCAGCTACATGAAAAATGACTTGTCCAAATTCAGATGGGAAATCATTGTCTCTAAAACACCCGAGTTTTGTCGCATCTACTCTTCTAGCTCCAGCCTGAGAATGGCATCTTATTGTTCTATCTTATTCTTCCATTCTCTCTCTCTCTCTCATTATCTTATTTCGTTGAGCTCCATGATTTCTACTGATCCTACCCATTTTATGGGAGGAAAGGATATGTGAAATCCTTTTCCCTGGAAGACCAAATTGGATTTGTGATGCCTGTTATAACAAGCCCACCAACTGCTTGTGAAAATATCTCAAAGAAATCTGACTTAAAATCAAGATAATCTCAGCTAAAATAGTTATTCGAGTGATAAGCCAAAGCATCCTAGGAATCAAGCAACGCAACAAAATGATCCAGGAAAAGATAATGTACTCCCCAACAAAAACACAAATCAGTTTCCTATTCCGAACGGCAGAAATCATTTTCCTCGGAACAAACAAAACGAGAAAGAACAGCCATGTGGGACGCTATCTAGGAAAAGAACAATGGGGAAATCGTTCCTCACCCTCAAACTGATTCCCATTTTAGTTTCAGCCCCTGTCTGAACCAGAGGTCATTGCATTGAATTCACCCTCTGGTTATTCTGAAGGCAATACACACTCCTCCATAGACATTAACTTGCCCCCAAGTCCGATGAATCACATTTCAGAAAATTACTAACAGTCTGTCAAAACGACTAACACATTTTGCTGTCCTGGGTGGAATGTCCGAGGCTGCTTGGGGGACAATCTGATCTGGGTTTAGCAGCTAAAAAAAGTCCCCTCAAAAAGGCCTTAGCCAATCGGAAGACACAGAGTTCTCTGGGTCCTCCAAGTTCATGTTTGCCTCCTAACTAAGCCAAATTTCGAACTTGGGTATCGACATGGCTACTCAAAGAGGCAGTTTTCCACAGAAGTCGATTCGACCATCCATCGAACGAAAATCGCTCGACCCAAACAACAAATGTCCGAACAAAGATCAAATCAAACCAGGCAAACAAACACACCCAAGAAATCAACAGAACTAATGAAGGGCAAAAGAGATGAAAAGGGTCCGAAGAAGGGCGCATCAGGGTTGACAACACGTCCTCTGCACCCAACCTCGTGCTCCCGCTACAAAGAAATTCCAAGCAAGAATCGAAGCCAGTGTAGACGAGCAACAATCATACCGCCAACCCATATAAACAAGGGCGGATGAAACGATTTCTCGGCCAACTTTTCGAATCGATTTCGCCCCCCTCCACCAGTTCTCCTCCGCGATGGGAGAAGCACTTCCCACCGCGGAATCCTCATGTCCAATGAGCACGAGAACAGAGGGGGGTTTCAGAGACGTGTTGAAACGAAAACGCGAGAACAAAATTTCCGCAGCACCAAAGCACGAAGTAGCTCCACAACAATGCAAACGTCGACAGACATACACTCGAATGGAGGAAACCCTAATTTCTCCATGGACGGAGAAGCTCTCTAGATGGAGGCGAAGTTGGCGACCGCCGACGACGCACGAAGACGAGAGGACTCTTCAGAGAGAGTTATAGCCGTCAACAGGACAGGCAAAACCCTAATGATGAGGGGATGACCGGAAGTGAAATGACTTAGATACCCTTGTTCTGTTGGGCCTTACGCTATTGGGCCTGCTTTTGTATGGGCTTCGATGAGGTGATCGTATTGGGCCTGTTCGAGTCGAGTTTACGGCGTTAGAGAGATCAGGAGGTGATCTCGCACGCATGGTCCGAGTGCATGAGCTTGGTGGAGTCCAAAATCCTTATGAGATTCACGAAAATTGGATGATTTGTACCATATGGATACAATGTGAATGCTTCCGGTCCCGTACAATATAGTTCCTGTAAGTTTAGGCTATGCGACCCTCTTTCCTTTTCGAGATCGGCCGTGATTTTTGATGGATGAAGCGTGCGTGTGCTCGGGCCTGCACAGATGCTCCTCTCGCTCCGAGTTCAGTATATGAAATTTTGGGGTAGGATGCCCCGCCACAAGCTAATGTGAACAAAGATGATGGACTTGTACTCATTTACCCGAATCGGGTTTTATTTGTGTTGCATGATACAATCTCTGCCTCTTACACAGAAAAACCCTCGCGCACGTCGAAACCTAAAACCTTGCGGTTCGTTATATTAGGAGAGCTGGCTTCTAGAGGTAGATAGTTCAACTCTTATGAGTGCACTGTTTGGCTCAGATCGACCAACTTGAGATGTGCGAGCACTTATCGAAGAATGCCAAGATGTACTTATCAAGTATTCAGACCTCCAAATAGCAAATTGCTCAAGAGACACTAATAGAGTGGCGGATTGGATCGTTCAAGCCTAAAGACAAAGGGTCCTACCTTACAATTGAGTCTCCGACCGCTCTCAGGCCCTTTGGGATTTATTATACTCTGAGCTCATTCATCGTACTCCCACATTATTTCTTGATGAAAGGCAAGGAATTTTCACCGACCACCAAAAAGAAACCCTCTTCAATGAGTTTTTTTGGCATAACAACTCGGCCTATGATTCTGCTACGCCATGGCATGTGATGCCCCGGCAACGGCGGAAGCAGACGGACTGATCATATCGGCACTTTCCTCTTCCAACTTGAATCAAAGCCACCTCGTTCGGCTTTTGCTGCATGGCCTTAAACAGTGACTCAAATCAGGCAAAATCCTGAGCAAAGCTTTCTGGTAGACAGGTGAAAAAGACACGTTCAACTTGCCAATCCAATGATGAAAAGGGGGAGATTCGGATCGGTTAAATCTTTGCTCACAACATGGAGATTCTTTTACTTGAAGCAGCGTGCCGTGTGAAATCAGATTACTGGGTCGCGTCGGGGCAAAAAAGCTCCATCGCTCGGCGTGGCGACACTGCGAAAAAAAGCATTATCTTTACGTAAAGCCGAGCACTCAGGGAATGAAACTAGCACGATCTTCGTCAGATGTGACATGCAGAATCCCGGCTGCATGTGTGGCGTAACGCAGATTCATGATCAAGCGGGCATGGACCAGAACAACTTTAGCAATATGTACAAAGCGAACTGATCCAGACACTTATCCAACAATGTATAGGATCAAAATCGGCTAGATATGTTCATTATGAGACGATCATCTATTACGTCCGTCGTGTGTGGAAAAACTATATCCTATAAGTGATGCAAGCACATTCCGATGTGCGCGAGATTCGGTTGCTTAGACGAAAGCAAATTTCGAGTTCGTCGACATCCTAGAAAACCACAGCTTTATTATGTCATGTCAAGGCAAAGTTGAAGTACAAGACTCAACGAAGCAGACACACGTACATGCACTTACCCCCAAACACACATAGACTTACTTAAGAAAATAGTAAAGAGACATTTCTTTTATTCCACTACTGAATAAGCTCAAACAGTTGCAATAGGACCCAAATTGATGGACGACTCGATGGTCTTCATCGCCTCAAACCTCGGCTCCTTGGCCTGGAACTTGAGTCCTGCATAGAGCTTCATGTAGTCCTCAAACACAAACTTTGGGTACACTTGGCCCTTCACCTCTTTCTCCACCAACTCTGGCGCAGGGTATATGACTGCGTCGCTCCCAGGGTTGTAGAACGACGCGATGGACATCCGGTTCCCATCGGTCTGTGCGATCACCCGGTGCTCGATGCTCTTGTACTTGCCATTCGTAATGACCTATATCATTGCCAAGTGATTAAGTTGATTTGAGACCTCAAATTATGAGCATCTCAGCTATCAAGAATTAAGAGTTGAGATCACAATACACATACCTCGAGTTGGTCGCCCAAGTTGATGACGATGGAGTGACGCATCGGAGGGACGTCGACCCACTGGCCGTCCTTGAGGAGCTGGAGGCCACTGACCTTGTCGTCCTGGAAGAGGAGGATGAGGCCGCCGGCATCGGTGTGGGCCCGGAGCCCCTTGATGAGGTCCGGCTTCGGGCACGGGGGGTAGTTGCTCACCTTGGTGCCGAAGGTCGGCCCTTTAGACCCATAAAACGCTCTCTTCAAGTAACCTTTTTCCAAGCCAAGATTCTCACAGAACAAGTCCAGAAGCAGCTCAGCTAGCTTCTCCAATTCTAGGGCAAATTGCTTCATAGCCTTCCTGTTAATTATAATCACATGTAAGGATATACCCTTAGTCTCAAAATACTAGAATATTGAGGACGGGGGCCGCTACCGATTTTTATGGTGTGGTCCATACAACTGCTAATAAAGGGTACAGATGGAATCAAAATCAAAATTTCGCCAATACAAGTAAAACATGATGAAATGCAGAATCTTCAATAATGGATGGTGCTTCGTGCGTGAAAAAGATCATACCCACAGGGACTGGTACCCGGGCATGAACGTGACATTCAAAATTTAACCAGATCTGAGCTTCAGTCTTCGATATCATGTTAAATGACTACTTGAATGTCCAAATATGTGGGAAAAGTTGAAAGGACTCAGAGATATCATTATATAAATTATGTCTTTACCAAAGTGAGCAATGTTAAAGACATCAAGGCACAAATAAAAGATATGTTAAGTGATCAATCACCGGTGATCTTCTTCGAGATCGGGGACTTCGGAGATGTTAGAGACCGGGAGATGGCGGATGTGGAACGTGCTCTCCCAGTCGATGTTGTCGATCTCGGACTGAGTGGCCTCGAGGCCTTTGCTCGCCACCATCTGCTTGAACTTTTGCTCCATGCACTTCTTGTAGTGCTCCTTGGTCAGCCTCTCCACATTGTCCATCAGTTGGTGTGATAGCCCATGGTTCACCAACTTCACAGAATCAAAATAAAATCAGCACATAGAAACGATTGTTATAGACCATCACACAAAACACAGTCTGTCTTAATGAAATAGTTCACATAATATACTTCATGGGTTGTTTAGTAAAAGCTTAATTACCTCAAAGAAGCCCCAATTTTCACAGGCATCTTTGATCTTGGCCATGGTGGTTCCTCTCACTTCACCATTAAGCTTCTCCAGATCAATCACAGGGAACGACTCCATCTCTCTCTCTCTCTCTCTCTCTCTCAAGTTTCTTGTGTAGTTTTGAGATTTGAAATGAAATGGGGGTGATATTTATAGGCGCTGAAAGTGTGATCAACAGGGAAGGAAGAGAATTGAGAACAAGGGTCTTTGAGTAATTGGCAGAATCAAATGTGTTAAAGAAAATTAGGATATTTTTCTATATTAGAGATAATTAGAATATTTATGTTGGTTTTCTGTACCTCTCAAGATTACGCGATATCTCATTTTGATTATGCGTATCTTGATTTAATATATGTTACTTTATTTAGTCATATTAAAAAGTCTACAAATAAGTCGATGTACTATATCGAATCATATAAAAATTTCTCATATTTTATCTTTCGCATTATTATTAAGTAAATGAAAAGGAAAAAGTTACAGGTCCAAATCTAAGTTAAGAAGGAATTGAACTCGTGGAGCATGAATGTGATCACATCTCAAATGATGGACCCCTACCATGTTGTGTCACTGAGGCACTGTCCAGTCATCTTCTTTGTTGGGTTGGTTTTCTTGGGTCCCATTCTGGTGCAACTTCACGCCACTGCTAATTTTGCTTTTTCTTGATGAGCATGACCAAAAAAGAAAAAAAAATTGCAAATTCTTTCCATTACTCATGCACTATACATATAGGATGCTGTGAAAATAGCATCTATGGAGCTGCTTTGTCAGTCCCCAGCTTGACTTTGGAGTATGGTTTCAATGGGAAGTCTTTGCAAAACACCTTGAATTTCCCTGCCTTACGCCTTCACATCAATTACCCTCGTGTCTTTATTTATTTATGAAAATGTCATTCTCTTTCAAAAAATGCCAATCCCAAAACCCTAAATTCTCACTTCCACCCAACACACTCAAAATCAACTAAAGACCAGGCCACCCAAACCCTAAACAAGAGGCTAAAATGAGCTTGCAAGGAGGAGTCATTTGGTCTTTCCATTGTGGGGTTTTTGCTCGAAGGTACCTGAACGGTGTTTGAAGAAATCAGAGGTACGTAAGTGGGTCATTGGATCGAGTGCGATGTATGCTTTTTTTTGTGCTTTCCCATCTACTTATCTTTTTGAACTTTCGCATGGATATATAGTAACTTTACATATATTCTACATGATATGTGAACCATGGAGATAATTACATCTAGACCCTCAACTTACCTCCCATTGATGCCAACCTCCGAGTTTTACACTTACACAGATATGTCAAAGTGCTTGTGAGGCTAACATGATACGATGTTAGTATCATTCAAGTAAGCATGATACATAGTACAAGAAATTTCAGTGTGATCTGTGGAGCTAT